TAGAGAAAGTCTCTCCTCGTCTGACCTCACATCGTTTGCGCCACTGACTTGGGGTATTGACAAATCATTACTAGTCAAAGCTGGAGCTTCCATATCACTGCTCATGTTACTCACAGCCCTTGCTGCATTTAAGTCAATGGAAAGAGCAGAAAAGTCAGGAGAGGTGTTTAATTTTTGTGCAGGTTTCTCACAAGCAGGTTCACTCTGAATCTGAACGGTTTGGCAGCAACTAGGCTGAAATTCAGCACGTTCTGAATAAAACGTTGCTTGTTGAGGCGACGCGTGGCTACTGCCGTCTTCTGCGCACTTTAAGTCAAAGTCATCAAGACTCCTTGAAACCAAGATGTTTGCCATTTCAACCAAATTCCCAGGCGACGATGTGCCTGGATCCCTTTGCAAAGCTGAGCGAACATCACTCGTCTTGCTCTCTGTTCTACTTTCCTCAGACGGATCACTGTGTGAAAATAAAGACGTGTCAAATTCGCTCTCAGTAACTGCACGCAATTCCTCTTGGGAATCAAAGTCAATGCTGACACCGCCATCAGTCAGCTGGTTATTCAATCCCTGGCAGTTAAAAGGCGCAGTGACATGTCGAGCCTGGTTTTCTGAGTCAGGAGTGGAGGTTCTGTCACTCAGACATGATGTATTTAAATCTATTGTTAGGTCAGTGTTCTCCATCACGCTGCAAAAATGTACTCCACCTGTCTTCTGCCTATTAATCACAACCTGTGAGTCACTGTCTGCCGGTAAAGTCGGATTGTCTTTGTGAAAATCACAGTCTGCAGTTACTTGACTCCAACAGGAAGGTGAGATCATCGCAAACTCAAGACAACTGTCTGATGAACGGGAGTGATCCACATGGACACTAGTCGTTTCGATTTTTCTCTGTTTTATTGCACTCTCCATCTCTTCAATTGGTAAATCAAGCACTGAAACAGTCACCTTCCTCTCAGTCAGCTGCTGCATGTTTCCAGCTCCATTTTCTTCACTTAAATCCACAGTTTGATATTCAGAAGCGTCAGAAATGCATTGTTCTGGATAAATGCAGAGTTCAGAATCTGAGTCCAAATGTTCGCCTGATCCAAACTGCAATGTCTCGCAATCAGACCCCAAAAAGCTCTGCTCATGTGCTTGAGGTTTGGCTTCTTGTTTCAGACTCAAACATGTGTTTTCCCCATCACTTAAAGCATCAGTTTTTTCAACTGACCCCAGGTCAACCAGCTCCAGCACTCTGCGCTCCTCTGCCAGGTTGTTTGTGGTGATGTCGTCAAAGCGTGAGTCAGCTATTTGAGCTTTCAGAAGATGGAAAGGATGTTCACGTTCACTTTCCATCACATTAACAGAGCAGCTTAATTTAGCTTGGTCCGCAGTTTCTGGTTCCCTGCACAGTGACTCAGCGTTGCAGTGTGGTAGTATATGATGAGTAGACGTCAATGTGGCTTCATTTGCAAATATCTGTGATGACTCTGCGCTTTTACTTTCAACAGAGCATAATGGTGAAACGAATGGCACTTCCAGACAAGCTGGAACATCATGGAGTTCTCTGACTGTATCTTTAGTGTCAGGTTTTGCACTGTTACCACAAAAATTATCTTTACATTCATCCAATTCTGTCCAACTTTTGCTGTTTTGAAAGATATCTTCTGCCACTTCTTGTTTTTTATGAATCAGATCAGTGTAATTATCCACAAAACATTCCCTGACAGGATTTTGGTTTGTCAAATTGTCCTTTATCACAGATTCTTTGTTAAAAGTCACTTGTGTTTTGCTCAGACAAGTAGAATTATGAGGCTCAAATGTTTGGATTGTGTTGTCATGGAGAGTGCGTCTGCTGTCAGTCTGCGTGTCTTTTCTTACTTTCTCTGCTTCCTCATTTATTTGCAACAATACTTCAACATCTGCCAGTTCTGACTGACCACTGGTGTTGAAAGTGACATTCTGAGAAAATATTGGGTCTTTAAGAAAAGCTTGAGCCGTTTCTTTTAACTGACTATCGAATATCAAAACCCTCAGAGTTGAGCTTAGATCAATGTAGCTGTTAATCATTAAGTATGAGGTGAATAAGTGCTCGGCCTCTGTGGGAGTGGGGAAGGTCAGTTCAGACATTTCTGCAGAATGACACCATCTATCAATTGTTAGTTTCTTATACATGAGCCATGTTGAAAACCTTTCACTTAAGTGAATGTCAGGAAACACATCAGGGATTTCAGCAGATTTCAGAATGTCTGCTGTGTATTTGTCTATCAGACCATTTCTAACAGCAGAGGCGATGTCCATTACCTCTGAACTTTCTGGAATGTAGAAAGCAGCTATTTTTCCTCGATTACTGAACAGTTTGCTGGTAAACCCACTGGTGGTGATTTGCTGGAAAGAGGAGGGCGTAGTTTCCCCAGAAAGAGGCAGCACAAGTCCCATAAACTGCTGCTGATGTCCCAAAACTATAAGAGTGCTGCTAGGGCTCATCAAATCACACTGAACCGCTACATCCACTCTCAGCCCATCGTTGTTAAGGAGGTCGCCAGCACCTTCTGACACTTCAGCTATATTTAAATTTTCTGTGACATCACTCACTTTACTGCTTAATGGGCTTGATGTGGTCTCAGGATCATTTAAACCATCACAAACTGACCTCAGAGTGTTAAATTTCCTCTCTGATGCCAGTGATTTATCTCCACAGAGACACTTTAATATCAATCCATTAACCTCACTGTGATTAACCTTCACTTCAGGCTCAAAATGCAACACATTTTCAGCCAAGCTCAGCTGCCTCACATCCTGAGAGGACGCTTGCCTCTGCAGAATCTTTACATAGGCCGAAGCAGGAATTAGACCACACTGAAATGCCTTCTCCAGGGTCAACACATCCCCTGTGTAGCACACATTCAGTCCATCACTGACCTGATTGGTTTCTATTATTTTAATGACCAGATCCTCACCACTAAACTCTTCCCTAACAGCTGCTACGTCAGACAGGGGCACAGATAAGAAATGTGAACCTTGTATGCATTTGTTCTCTTTGTACTCTGGGAGGGGGTTCAATGTGGGTGTGTGCATGTGATTGCTTTTGAGACTTTCATCCCAGTCCAGAAAGACATGGGGCTCAGACAGGGAAAGGCTGGAGCTTGTAAGGGCGTCTGGGAGAGTGACAGGAATCATTTGATCAGACGGCCCAGTCGTGGTTCCAGCACCAGTCTCGTTAGTGTTTGAAACCTGGGAAGAACAAAAACCATGGCAAGTTACTTAACTGGCTTTGACTTTCTAATATGTATTGTCTGTATTAGATTTTGTATTCAAAAACAAGACTAAATCTATACTCACCACAACACAAACATGGCCATGTTCAAAACAGAGTGTGCAAAAGAGCAAGACTGCAACAGGGTTACAACTGGAAAGTGATGCTACATGTAAAGCTTCCATGCATGTAAGAATGCAGTGTCCAGGATCTCGCAAAAAGAGTGTTGTTAGTCTTGCTGCAAACTGTAAGGCTACATTTTATGTCTGCTGTCATCTTGAACTCTACGAGAGCTCAAGCACATCAATAACGGTGAATTTTTGGAGCAACCACATGTTTACAGCATACTCGAGTTATCAACTGAACAAATGTTTTGTCACTCATGATTTGGTTTAAGACAGTGAAACAGGAGACGTGAGAGGAAACTGTCCTTAGGAACAAAGAATAGATCATGCAGCTGAACATCAGGTTGCACTGTTGGCATTATAGCACACAACTGCGACAAGTGCAACAGAACAAAACATCTGTAGAAGCCAACCTCATCTGCAGAGGTTGTCTGGTCTGAACACTGCTGAGAGAGCTCGCTGTAAGCCTCACTGAGAGCTTTCAGCTGCTTCTCAGTGTTCTCTCTGTCCTCTTCTGTCATCCTAAAAAACAAAATGAAAAAAAATTCAATTGCAAAGCTTTGAATTTAAACAGAAAATAAACGTCCCACATGCAGTTCAGGGCACTAGCACATACTTGTCACCATGTTTGTTGAGCAGCATCTGTGCAGCTAGCAGCGCTTCTGCAATTTGATCCTTTTTAGATACCATTTCCTCAACAGACACCTATAAACACAGTGAAAAGTTAAATTATAAAAGGCTTTTTATCTTTTATAAACACTTTGTGTCATCTGCATATAATAATAAGCAGAGATGATATATTTTCATTGGATTACACTAATCATTTGAATTAAAAGATTGTCACTGTAAACATCAGCAACTAAAAACAAAACACTGACCATGATTTTAAATATATATATAGTCAGATTATTTTTTTCCCAATTGTAGCATTTTATACTGGGGTCCATTCTGAACGGTAGTTTTCCATGTTGTTAACTCAGAGGATTGTATCAAGTCTTCTACACACAAAGAGAATATTAAAATCTAATTTTCTGTGGTCAGAAACAATCAAAAATGGCATGAGAATTTCATGAAATTTGAAAAGCAACATTAGAAATGTTACATTTCATTTATCAAAAAATTTAATTTTTGTGTGCAGTGTAAGAAAACTGTATGAATCACTGTATAGTGTCAAATATTTTATGCAAGTACAATTAAAATACAATTCAAAAAAATATATAAATTGACTTAAAATCAATTTAGTAAATTGTTATTTAGCAAATAGTCTCTGATTTTTTTAATAGTATGTTTATTCAGATAAAAAGCCAAATATGCTTTGAGATATGAGTAATTAGTAATGCAAAAATGATTAACTAAAGAATTTGCAAAAACATTTACTAAACATTTCACTATACATTGACCTTTTCTCTTTTTTAAATATACTAGTTAGACTGAATTATGTTACCTATAGAAACCAAATAATTATTAATCTTTATTCAAGGACATTTAGATTGCTATTTAATGCACAAAATGCTATATATATATATATATATATA